ACTAAACCATCATCAAGGTATTTGTGCAAACAAGGAAAATATACTCTCGGTTGAAGAAATAGAAGACGAATCGCTTTTCCTTAATTAGTTTAATAAATAAATCATGCAAAAAGATTGCAAAATCAAAACCTTTGCCAGCGCTGCTGCAAATTGACGAATCCCACTTTCAGGAAGAGACCTTATCATTGGAAATTATGAAAACATTTACGAGCGATAACATCAAAACCATTGAATCTCTAAAGCTGTACAAACACATAAACATTTGGATAAAGGTGGCTCGTAATATTAATTTTGTTCATCTTGATACGTCCATATAGAAATAGAAATGATGCAAGCAATACAGAAAATTATGAAGTGCAAATCGATATCGAAGACAACCCAACACCTTCAAAGATGAATAAAAGATTTACTAAATAATTATCTAAATAACATCCCGTTTTTTTCTGAGGAAAACTTCTGTGCAAAAAAATGTTCATACGGGACGTATGAAATTTAAAGGGGGAGGAGTTAACATCAAATATATTTCTTTGAACCACTGTCCAGACATCACCTCATATTGCAACATGATCTGCTTAGTTGGCATGTGAACGTTTGGACGAAGTAAACAACATGTGTAAAGAGAATAGATCAATTTATTTATGTGTATTTATCTCACGCAGTAATAATCCACCGTGAGTCCACAAGCTCTTAAATTAAAAATCCGTAATATACAAGATTTCTATAAAAAAGGTTTATTAAAAAATTCAACAAACAATGTTAAAAACAAACTTCAAAACCGAATGACAGGAAAAGCACACAAAACATTTCAACAAGGTATTTGAATTGAAAAGTATGAATACTACAACAATTGCCACATCAAATCAAATGCTTTCTTAAAATAACAAATGCAAATATTACATTGTAATATGTAAAAGTTTACAATTTTGCTGATAACGTTGTTTTTCCAATGCTTTAGTTAGAATGTCTGCTGCATTTTCATAAGAAGAAATATATTCGATGTCAATTACATGATTATCATATTTTTCGTGTACATAGTGATAACGGATGTCAATATGTCTGCTCTTCTTTTGCACTGTTTAATTTCTTACCAAAAAACTGAGCTCCTTGGTTATCACATAGAATTGCGGTAGGATATTCTACATACTTCTTGAATTCTAACTCATTAAGTAGTTCTCGATGGAAACACACTTATTTAGTAGCTTGATATAAGGCTATATATTCAGCTTCCATCGTGCTTAAAGCTACCACTGATTGCTTGCGTGATTCCCAGGCTACAGCAACGTCTCCCATAAATAAGACAAAACCTGAGTAGGATCTGCGATCATTCACATCAAATCCCCAATCAGTATCCGCAAAACAGTTAAGATTTCCTGAATTGGCTTTGAACGTAATTTTTCCCTCTGGAGAATTTAGATACTTAAAATGCTTTTTGTGTGGATGAGAATTGAATTGGCAAAGTTTTGAAACTACGTGCATTCGATCCGGTCTTGAAATTACCGTCAAATACATTAAAGCACCTGTCAAGCTGTGATATGAATGTGGATCCAAGTCTGTACAATTCATGTCACACTTGACCAAAACAGTACCATTAGGCCATGGCGTGCTTGCAGGCTAACAGTCTGGCATTTTCCAACGCTTCAGTACCTCTTCACAGTACATCTTTCTTTTCACAGCATCATGTAAACTTCTTCATCTAAATCCGCGTTCAAACATGGCGCTACAACGTCGATATGATTTACCAACAATTTATGTTGTGCAGCCAATGACAGGAATAATCGTATGACCGAATGTCGAACAACTGCAGCAAAGGTTTCTTTATAATCCACGCTATACTTCTGGGAACATCCATGCGACACAAGTCTAGCCTTATAGTTTTCAACGGAAAAAGACCCATTTGCGTCCTATAATATTCTTCCATTTGTGTCGATTAACGAGAGTCAACTTTTTTGATTCTTCATTAAGGATTCATATTCCCTTACCATTGCTTCTTTCCATTTATCTGAATTTTCGGAACCCAGTACTTCCGCAATTGTTTGAGGGTTTTCAATTATTGAGTTCAACATTTCTAGATTTTCGACTATCCTTGGTCGAAGAACTCTATCTGTCTGTGAAATAATACATTTGTTACTTCTTTTATTATTTGGAATAATTGACTCTTGTATGTTTGATGATGGCAATTCAGATGCCTCGACACGAGTATTATTAGTTTCCCGATCGTTTGTCTGCTTCAAAATCTATGTACAAAACACCTCAGGTTCGATTGATTCATCCGATAACATTTCAAACGACTCTTCGTAAAATAAAACATCTCTAGCAACGTGAATTTGCTTTGATTTAGGATCCCATAACCGATATCCTTTGGATGAAGTGGAATAACCAACGAATTTCATTTTGATTTCTTCCCTTAGATTTCGGACATTTTTGTAAGACTGTATTGATTGCCTCTCCCCACAATCTTTGTGATAAACCAGACGAATGCAGTAAGCTTCTGGCCATCTCCACTTAAGTCCTGTTAGCTCTCTCGATTATTCCATTTTGCTGTGGGGTATAACAAACTGTCGTTTGATGAACTATACCCTTTTTTGCAAAGAAATTTTGGAATTTGATATTTATAAATTCTTTGCCGTTATCACTGCGAACAATCTTAATCTGATCTGTCTGCAACTCTACGGTTGCAGCAAAACGTTCGAAATTCAAAAGTTTCAGATTTCTTCTTCAAGCAAAATACGAATGTGAAACGAGAAAATGCGTCTATAATGGTCATAAAATACGAAGATCCACCTATAAACTGCACATCCATATGCAACAATTCCAATACGTCTTTCGTTGGAATTATAGAATAAGCTTTAAATGACGTGGCAGATATTTTACAAAGTCCCTATGTGACACAATCTATGCTATCAGGAACTTTCAATACCAATCCATTAACCATGTTTTTTGACACTAAAATCTTTTATGTCATTTTTGAGTTACATCCTTGTCAATAGCAACATTCAAAGACTGAACTTCATTTTGCAATCTAACCTTTGCAATAAACACCTCATCCACCAATTCAGCCATCAAAATATTAACGCCATGGGTAACATTCATTACTGCTCCATTATCATTAAATATCACGGAAAGACTACAGAGCAATAAAATGGTCAATAAATCATCATTCAAACTTATTCCAATTTCCTTTAATTCATCAATCCTGGAACAAAATTCATTTATTTGCACTGAAAATTTCTCAGCATTTCTGAACTTAAACCTAACCAACTTCTTGAATAACTTCACCTTTCTGGATGCGGTGTCAGCCTTGTATAATGAATTAAGTACATCCCATGCTTCCTTAGCTGTCGCACTATTATTGAAATCTATTAAATCGCTCGCTTTCACAAAAAGGGTTATAGTTGCTAAAGCTTTTCTATCATTATTCATCCAAATTGTTTTTTCAGCAGCACCAACAATCTCAATAGTATTCCATAGATCCAACGTTATTAGCAAGCTCTTTATCTGGATACACCACGTTCCATAATTTTCGCTGTTTAGTTTCTCTATGGTAGCCACAGAATTAGCCATTTTACTTCCTTTATTCCCAGATGTCCAATTTGCAAAATTAAATTGAAGAACTTTGTTAGATAATCACCTCATATCTGTGTATTTATCTCACGCTGTAAGAATCCACCGTGAGTCCACAAGCTCTTAAATTAAAAATCCGTAATATACAAGATTTCTTTAAAAAATGTTTATTAAAAAATTCAACAAACAATGTTAAAAAAAACTTCAAAGCCGCATTTCAACAAGGTATTTGAAAAGTATGAATACTACAACAGCAACAAACAGACAGACATCGCTAAATCGATTTAGAATTTTACGCTTATCTAGAATATATATGCCTTGTTGGGTCTAACGTCTTTGTTGGTCCATAGTATGGGGGAGGCTATAAAACCGGCGCTTTCGGAAAAAAGCAACCACATACCAACAGAAAACAACCATAACAGAAGATAAACATTAGAAAAGATTAAAATTATTAACAGACAACATTGCATTTGTTAAAGGTTGTTGTTGCAGTGCAATATGTACATCGAACAATGGTAGTACAATTACTTTAATTCATATGGAATATTTGACGATATAGTTTTACGCATATGTAAGCAAGCTCTTTCGATAAAAACTTCTTATTATATTATGCTGTGATATTTTAGTATATATTGTAGATGTTATATTTTTTGTAGACTACCCCGAAGATGTAGATATAAAATTTCGAAATATGGTTTTAAGTACCAAATATAAACAACATCAAACAACATAAACAACTCGTTTTCTATTTTCGTTATATTGGGAAAGCAAATACGATAAATTCCTTACCGAATTTCTATTCGTGATTAGATTGAAAGTATTTCATATCTGATTTCGGATATTACAACTGGTATAAGTAATTATTGTCTAACTATTTTAGCAGCCTAATGATATTTTATGCATTAGTGAGACTGCTATTCCTTCCCCCAATACCAAATATAGTACCATTCACTACATTTTATACAATTGTAATACGCATTTTCAAAACCATCTTCATATATCAAATTTATTTTCCAAACTTTACTCTTACTTTTACTCCAAATGTTTAGCTCTATTCGTTCACATAATACCAAATGGTACCATTTTAGAACTTTTCGTAACCCTAAAGTTCGAATTTCCCTTTGGACCATCTGTCCTGCACTCCATCTGTGACTCACGAACTTCTAAAAACCCAGACTTATCATATGCCTACAAACCAAGACAAGCCCACGTGAACATTTTCAAGATTCTAGCTTCAGTCTTTTCGTCTGGTCGTTGATTCTAGGTCAGTCAGTCAGTTATTTCACTACTCTTTTAAATATAGATAATCTTACAGCATTACTGCGAAATGGATATTTAATTTTATATTAATTTTTTTCTATATTGTAATGTTTTAAATCGTGCAACCGTTATTATTGATATTTTGTGCTTATGCTATCACTGTGTATTAATTTTTTCAGTTGGAAGCCCACTAATATAAAACATATAGCAATAGTGACATTAAAACACTCTTTAGTTGTTGCCGAGAAATTCAATGTGTTCCAAATGGATATAACTGGAGAGCAAGTAAAAGAATCGCACACAATAATTTAAGTTATTTAATGTTGATAAGAATGTTAGCATTCTATTTTTTACTATTGCTTACTAAAATGATTTTTATTTATTTTATTTAGATCGGTCCTTCGTATGTTCACTTGCACTTGGATTCCCCATCTTTCGGTCGGATAAAAGTGGTACAAACGGTAACACCTATAGCGCCCCTCATTCAAAGAGTTATTCATCGTTTCTATGCAATACGTATTTTGGCGCCTGTTATAAAATGTATAATATTTGCTGAAAGCGTCATGGTAATTACGTATATTACGAAATAATATAATTAATAAAATATAATATAATATATATATATATATATATATATATATATATATATATATATATATATATATATATAAATTTATATATATATATATATATATATATATATATATATATATATATATATATATATATATATATATATATATATATATAAACCACGCGCCACCGCTTCCATGCAGTTAGACGTAATTTGATCGTTAATTTGATTTTGCTCAAACTTTGCAAATCCGATTTGGCTCAAACTTTGCAAATCCTCATATTTGCATCAGTTCTAGGTCAAGTACGAAAATGGACAATATCGGTCCACTCCATCAAGTACCTCCCACACAAAGGGTCAACATTTTGAATAATTATAACTCTAATAAAATGTGATGTAAGGATCCGAACGTCTTCAAATTTCACACATTCCAATATTTTTAAAAAAACAGGATCTTCTGTTAACATGGAATGTATCGGTCCACTCCTTCTGGTACCTCCCCCACAAAGTGTCGAAATTTTGAATACCCATGAAGCTCATAAAACGCCAAATTAAGATCCGATTCCATTTAGACTTGGCACATCTCAATATTTCTATCAACAAGAGATCTGTTATAAAGGTGGTATAGATCGAGCCATTTAGCGTTCAAGATTTTGAAAAACAAAACGCCCAGATAAAGCGAAATTAGCATCCAAATATATTTATGATTTCGCATAAAATTGGACATAAATATCCTTTCTTGTAATTTTGCCCCATATTTCGCTCAATATTTTTTATTTGTGTCAGATGAAGTATAAAAATGGAATATTTCGGTAGACTCTATATGGTACATCACGCACATTTTAACATTTTCTAAAAATTATTACATATTTCATAAAAAGTGAAGGAGTGAGTCAATATAATCCATACCAGGAACGTTGGAATATTTATTTGGGTCTGATACAAAATGGACAATATTGGCTCATTCCTTTGGAACCGGCTCCATAGAGGGTCAAACGTTTGAATAATTGTAACACTAGTCAAATATATTTCGATTATTTAATCGAACATAGGCTGATACTTTTAACTTGTTTTATTTTAAGTTGTGTAGTGAAGTGAAAGTGATTCCTATAGCTCAGGTAAGCTTCTATTAAATAAATGAAAGTTTTATCTTTTTTATACCCTCCACCATACTATGGAGGGTATATTAATTTTGTCATTCCGTTTGTAACTCCTCGAAATACTCATGTCAGACCCAACAAAGTATATATATTCTTGATCAGCGTAAAATTCTAAGACGATTTAGCCATGTCCGTCTGTCTGTCTGTGTGTCTGTCTGTCTGTTGTAATCACGCTATCTTTCGAACAAATTGAGATAGAAGGCTAAAATTTTGCACACATGTATATTTCGCCAGTAAGCAGGTTAAGTTCGAAAATGGGCCATGTAGGTCCAAGTTATCATATAGCCCCCATATAACGGTACCTCCCAATATTCGGTATTTTGATGATTTTAGTGACATTATTCATCGGAATTGTTTCAAATTTGGCACTTAAAGTTCGTAATGGATACTACATTCTAAGTCAAAAAATGAGCCATGTAGGTCCATGTCTTCATATAGTCCCCATATAACGGTACCCCCCGATATTCGGGATTTTAATGATTTTAGCGACATTGTTTACCGGAATCGTTTCAAATTTAGTATTTGAAGTTTGTAATGGATACTACATCCTAAGTCAAAAAATGAGCCATGTAGGTCCATGTCTTCATATAGTCCCCATATAACGGTACCCCCCGAAATTCGGTATTTTGATGATTTTAGCGACATTATTCCCCGGAATTGTTCCAAATTTGGTATTTGAAGTTCGTAATAGATACTGCAGCATAAAACAGAAAATGGGCCATGTAGGTCCACGTCTTCATATAGCCCCCCATATACCGTACCCCCGATATTCGGTATTTTGATGATTTTAGCGACACTATTTACCGGGATTGTTTCAAATTTCGCATGTGAAGTTCGTAATGGATACTTCAGCCCATGCCAGAAAATTGTCTGTGCATATAAACAGATTTTTCTTCAAGTTTCGCATTTAAATATTGTAATAACTTATGACAAAAGTTGCCTATGCATGTCCACGTCGTCGTATAAGCATTCGGTATTTTTAAGATTTTAACAGAATTTTTAACGGATTTTATTTATTTATTTATTTTTTTTTTTGTGGAAATTGCCAAATTTGTACCAAGTGGTGGAGGGTATTAAAAGTTCGGCCCGGCCGAACTTACAGCTTTTTTACTTGTTTTTGTTACTTTCGTTTTATTTTTCGGTATTTGAATATAACCTCTTTTTCGTTATATTCCACCATACATAGTATGGAGGGTATATTAAGTTCGTCATTCCGTTTGTAACTCATCGAAATAATCATTTTAGACCCAACAGAGTATAGAGAGGTCAAGTTTGAAGATGGGCTATATCGGTCCACGATATCGTATATCCCCCATACAACGGTACCCCCATACCCGGTTTTGATGATTTTAGCCCCATTTTTCAATGGAATTGTATGAAAATCCACACAAGCAGTTCTCTAAGAGCACTTTATCTCTTGGCAGAGAATTATCTATATAGGTCCACGATATCGTATAGCCCCCATATAACGGTTTATTATTTTGATGATTTTAGCCACAATTTCTAACAAGACGACAATATGAAATAATAAAGGCAACTAACCCGAAGCATTACCCTTGTTACGATCTTTTGTTGAAAGCAAAACAAGAGTGTTACCCACCAAAGACGGAATTGCGAGTAACGGTTACCTACGCAGAAATGAATTTACAATATCATCATACCATTCAACGGCTATCAATCTACCTGGAAGAATTGTTATCAACCCTTAACGAAATCTTTGAATTTGGCATAAAAAGAAATCCAAGAAAGATTCCGCGTGGAAACTGGGCTGTTGGTGGACATGTCTAAAGTCAATTTTGGTAATACCAATGATAGCAATACGGGTAGGAGATTTTTGAAAAAAAAAAAGAATTAGCGGCGGACATAACAGCATTAACCACGAATTAATACATAGATTTAAAGTTAGAGGCGACTTCAAGTGGACACAAAATACAACAAAATTCAAAAAATATGTTTTCAACACCGCGCAACTGTATGTGGAATTATACGACTGGCACCCCATGACTCCACAAATGCATAAATTACTATTACATGGGACCACCATCATAGAATTTTTCAACAAAATGTTCAAGGGAAGAATGCAACCGTGATGTTTATCAAAGATTTCTTCTTACTTCAGATCCACTCATAAGTAGTGAAATATTGTTAAAGAAAACTTCGCACAAGATGTTTTCCAGTGAAGTTATATAACTATTAGAACCTGCCGAGCTCCACACACAATCATGTATTGAGTACGAAGAAGTCGAGATAGAATCATCTTTGAATAAGACAATTTTATTTATTTATAATTTGTGAAAATAAAGTGTGTTTTTGTTATTGAAAATATGTTTTTCTTATTTATTTTGTTAAATTAATACATATTTTTTAGAATAATATATTTCAAGGCCATTAATGTCCAAAAATATTTTTGGCCGCCTAAATGTTTCAAATCGACCACTGTGCGTAGGTAAAGTGTTATGTCGAGATCACCAAGTGGTATACCCACTAAAAACCCCCTACGACTCTTTCTCGAATCAGAAATAATCCCACCGCGGGATCGGTTTTACCTTTACTTCGGGGTGGTTTGCATGTGGCTTCTGTAGTCCCGTCTGTTTATTTGCCTGCGTCTAGGCCTCCGCTTATTTTACACTCACTGCGTAGAATCATCGAGATCTCTTTTTTTCGATTTTAAGTCTTCTTTGCAGCAACATTTTACTACTTCCCAATACTTTTCATCTCTCAGCAATGTTGGTATTAGGGTTTAGCCTGCAACCATTTCGTTTTTGGAACCACTTGGTGCATTTAAGAAACGAGTGATCGGCATCACCGATTTCGTCTTCTTCTTCGTATATACAGTACGGTGCTGCACACTCACCATGTGTAAGTATTTCCTAAAGTATCCGTTTCCGCTAAGGATTTGGGTTACATAATAATCCTCTTCTCAAGATTTGGGATAAAATTTTTGTCTATATGCCTGCAGTTTGTACCGTCCATCTTTCCTGCCAGGCTTGCAATGTTTCGCGACTTATAGTCTCTGCCTCACCTTGTTCTAGTGTGTTATTTTGTTTTGTCGTCCATAGTTTATGCCTTTCCTTTATGATTCGATTGGCACCACTCCGGCTATGACAACGACAGCGGCTACAGATACTGTGTGGTATGCGGACGTAATTGTCAAAGCGGATGTACGTTGGACTGCAAGTAGACAGTTGCCATATTCTTAAACTTGATTGCTTCCCCCCATATCTCGCAACCATACAGGAGGATAATATAAAATTGATAAAATTTTACTCAAATGTGTATCATATCTGCAGAATTTTGGGATTGAAAATGAGCCATGTAGGTCCACGTCTTCGTATAGCCCCCATATAACGGTACCCCCCGATATTCAGTATTTTGATGATTTTAGCGACATTATTTACCGGAATTGTTTCATATTTTGTATTTGAAGTTCGTCATAGATACTACAGCATAAAACAGAAAATGGGCAATGTAGGTCCACTTCTTCGTATAGCCCCATATAACGGTACCCCCCGATATTCGGTATTCTGATGATTTTAGTGACATTATTTACCAGAATTGTTTCAAATTTGGTATTTGAAGTTCGTAATAGACACTACAGCATAAAACAGAAAATGGGCCACGTAGGTCCACTTCTTCGTATATTTTAGTGACATTATTCACCGGAATTGTTTCAAATTTCGCATTTAAAGTTCGAAATGGATACTACAGCCTATGACAAAAAATTGTCTGTGCAGGTCCACGTTTTACAACTCCCATGGTTCCTCCCTATATTCTGAATTTTGATGATTTTAGTTATAGTTTGCAAGTTTCGCATTTGAATATTGTAATAGCT